TTGTTTCCTCGACCGAACCCGAAAACTGGAATCCGGTATTGATCCAACATACGCCATATCCAATATACGCCAATATTCCTAGCATTCTATAATAAACAAGGAACTCCAAACTATTGCGTTGTCAAGCTATAAAACAAGTGATATATTTTACAAACCATATATCATTCGACGGCAAGTAAGTTTCCAATTATATTAGTAAACATAATAGACACAAATATAGCGCTATAATAAGCAACACAAAGTTATGTACACGAATTCCTAAATTTTCAGACATTATGTGGCTCAAAATATCTTACAGCAATTTTCAATGCCCATCAATTTATTCGTATTATTAAGTACGCATTTGTTTGAATTTGTTTTAAAACGAGAACGAATACATCTTCCGCACACTGTCTGCTTTTCCATGAATTTATACTTTAAAGGACGTTTTTTTCAAATAGTACTTATTTATACACGAGAAAAGCTAATTATACACTTACCGACACTTTTTTTAAAAAATCGGAAGACCTTTTTGACCTGTCTCTTATACACATCTAGATGTGTATAAGAGACAGGAATAAAGCTTGANGAAGCAGCGACTTCATCGCGCGCCTGCAGAGAAAGCCATCTCGCCGGCCGCTCCGCCTCTGCCAGCGTCTCAACGAGTCATCCCTATGCCGCTTGTTCTTGTCTCGGTCTCGTATTATTGCTCAGTTCCCTCTTCCAGGATCATCATCAATCGTTATTAAGCCATTTGTTCGTCATCTCAGTCTGATATTATTGCTCACTTGCTGTTGACCACAATGAAACATTAAATAGTCTGTCTTATACCTGGACCAATTGAACTTATTTACCTTCATAGCACTCATTTCGGTAGCTGTATTCCTCTTCACTTGTTCATCTTGTTATTTAATTCCTACATACGTTACAAAGTCAACATTTTTCGAAATTCTAATTCAGCAAAAATTCCTTAATTTACACTCATGAGTACCAAACGAAGCAAATAATAGCAAGCGAGACAAATGTTTGTCAAAACTTTAACAATTATCCCCAACTGGATTAAAGCATGCAATAGCGTGTGTAAGCATGTTAGACTCGCAATGTTCAAATGTCCAAATGCATAAGGAACTTCACAAGATTTGTTTTTCTATAGTTGATGTTTATCTAAAAATATTTCATACGATATCCAAAAATATTTCAAGCACCTTAAAATCTGATGAGTTCCGTCATAGATCTTGAGCTCCTTCAAGAGAGTTTCACCTGAATATGATTAGCATTGTTTTAGGATAAGTCCGATAAGATAATGGTGCGCACTTCAAATATCTTCATATCACATACCAGTCGAACACCCATCCAAGATTCAATCCCTGATGACGCATCCAACCAATACAGGCTGCTGTGTTGTCATGTAAACACGTCTATATCCAGCATATTTTTACAAGATTTGTTTATCGATACGATGTCTAAAAATATTTCAAGTACCTTAAAATCTGATCAAGAGTTCCGTCACAGATCTTGAGCTCGTTCAAGAGAGTTTCACTTGTATATGATTAGCATAGTTCGAGAATAAGATAATGGTACGCACTTCAAATATCTTCATATCACATACCGGTCGAACACCCATCCAAGATTCAAGCCCTGATGACGCATACAACCAAAACAGGCTGCTGTGTTGTCATGTAGACACGTCTATATCCAGCATATCTGAAGAAGCAAAACAAAATCCTAGCTATGGGAGGAAATGGCATGTGTAGTGGGAACACATACGGTATGTCACGAAAACATTTTTCTCCACTATTCATCACTTGAGAGATTTGCCTCATTTCGGGGTGGTGACATTAGTGCAGGGACTGTCTCTCATACACATCT